GTTTAAAACCTAATTATTTTGAATGCTGATAAAGGATTAAAAGCTCTTACCAATATAGCAGTTTATATATTTACAGACATATTTGTTACCCTGCTATTGCTACTAATCAGGTGCTAAAAAAAAAACACTAAAATGTTGCATGACCTTCTATATCTACCAAGCAGATTCATTCTTTTTTTGCAGTGTTAGTGCCATAGAGAGGAAGGAACAAGAAGTAAAGAGCTGTTCTTCTTTCACTGAATGAAATGCAGCCATTAGGAGAAGGAAAAGTAACCTTTCTAAATACACTGATTCATTCAGACTTTCATACCTTTTAGATTGCTTTGGTTGTGCCAAAGTCAGTTATCAGCTTATACAAAGGTTATGCACACTTTTCCATGAATATGGATTAAACACTTACCAAATGAATAAGAGAGAGACCATCCTGGAGGGAAGTGGCCTTTCCCTCTTTTCCTGCTTCTTTGTCTTATCTCTGTAGTCACTCCAAACAATAATACAAGCCCCTGAGCATGCACATACACTGAGTCTTACTGTCCTCCAATTTTCTCTCTATGCGTTCCCTTGTATACATACAGTATATGTTATGTTCATTCATGTACTTTACATACTCACCCACACAGTATAGACACCTGAAAATAGCTTGTATTCCAATGCTTTTCTTCCAAATTCAGGATGCACATAGACAAATGTCATAGTGAGAATTCAGCACATTGAAGAAGCACACACAGGAAGAAAAGACAATGTTTAAGTAACTTGATTTCAAAATGTATTTGGTGCCATTCCTCTGAAACCCTTTTTCTTTGACAAGTCTCCTTCCTTGCTTTTTAAATAGATTTCACAATTGTCTGAATCTTGTCATTAGCTTGTATTTGTTCTGTGAGATCTTACATTATAATTTAGAATTCAGAATGAATGTTCCTTGCCATTTAGTGTTTACGTTCATCCTGCAGTTACATACTGTACCTATATTGCACACACTATTTTAGCTACCCTTAATGATGCCCATACTTGTATTGTATAGCATGTAGCAGTTAATATAGTCTGTTGCTAGCCCTACCATAGTCCTGTTCATAAACATATAATATGGATTGTACGTTTGGCACTTGAGTGTCCATGGTTCAAAATAGTCTCTCTGTGTAATTGTTACACATTTATATCTGCGTATTAATCAACTTACAACACCTTGAAGCACTATCACCTTTTCACCTTGTCTGGAATGGTTTCATTGGAGTATTGAGTTGGTCCCTTCTCAAGACAGTTTGTTTTGGAGGGATGAGACTGGTCAAACGTTCAAAACAGCAGTTTAAAGACACTGTGACATTGCTCTCACTCATACTCTCCTCATACTTGTACTCCTCTGTTCAACTTTAGCTTCTCCCCTCACCCCCTGGTTTGAGCTGCCCCTTACTTCTTTCTCTTCTCCCTACCAACTCCCCTTCTCATACTCCCATCACTCTTTCTCCCCCACTACTCCGTCCCCCTGCTTTTTCCCTACTTTGATCAGCAGCGCTTGTCACTTAAAGTCTCGTCTGTCTCAGCCAATATGGCCACCCTGACACAAGAGGTGTGGAGGACTAAGTATAACAATGGAGAAAGCAAAGAGATAGAGACAAGTTTAACCTTAACTCCCATGACAAACTTTATTTTGCAAATCATAATGATGAGAAAGCCTTGAGCTGAAGTAGCTGCAGTGGATGGATAGGGCAGGATGCAGAGAGGGAAGGTGTGTCAGAGTGAGAAATGGGGAGTAGAAGTGGGGAACAAGCGTTATAGGAATTGAGACAGGCTGAAAGATGTTAAAGTTCCAAGCTGTAACATTTATTTTCATTTACTAAAAATAGAATTTGTGTGTGAAAAGGTTTATATGTAGGACTACATACTAAAAGTGACAACAACTACCAGTTATTTCCATTGTCACTAAACTGGTCATTATTTTTGCTATGTAATTGCCTATGAATTTCCTACACATTTTTATAGTCAGTTTTTGTCTTAAAATTACTGTGACTGTGTTTATAAGTAGGGCTAAAAAAACATCATCCAGTTCCCTTCTATTTTTTTTATTACAACCCAGTGCACCACGTGTAACCCAAAGGCCATTTAAAAGTATTTTATTTCACCGCCCAAAAATTAATTTGCTATCATTACGAGAAAAAGAGTTTTCACCCTCAACATATGCATTAGCATATGTTGAGCCATAACTGTGGGATTTACTGCAGTAATTAACAGAAACTGCCTTCTGCTGTGTAACTGCTGTGAAACTGTTATTACTGTCCACTCAAAAGTTACGACTGTCCACTCATGAGAAGTTAACTCAAAGACATTTTCTTGCATTAACAATATTTTTGCTGAGCAGAGCCCCATTGATATACATACTAAATGTGACATCAGGCTCCAAATGGGTCTAGAAAAGGATCTTATAGTTATTTTCTCTTGCAGAAATGTATTTTCAAGCAGAAATTTTTATTTTCCGGTATGCACTGTTCTAAACTAGCAGTTGTGTTGTAGCCAGTCAGAATGCAGGCACGTAACTTGTTGCACCCTAATATGATTTGACAATTGTCTTCTTAAATTTAGTAGCTTGTAAACAGTAGCTTCTGTTATGTTTACATAGATGTGATTAAGCATTAAACAGAACTGTGTAAAATCAGGCCACAATAGGTTCAAAACTGCTACTGCAGAAAGGGGTTAAGCAATCAGTTGTATTAAAAACTGTGTTACAGTGCTTATCTCCAGCCAGTACAGCCGAACTCAGATGTACAGAATGTATACAAATATACAACGTAAAACGTGGCACATTCTCAACTTTATCTAGATCCACTTTTGCCTCATAAATGGCTTAAATGAAGTGTACACACACATAAATTTTGATTCTGCATACCAATCTCAATATATAATGTTCCTTTTATTTTCTTTTAGAGGTCTGTGGCTTTACCATAAAGGTGTGTTGCAACATTGCTATGATTGCAGATGCAGTGGCACCTCAGAAATGTTAGTTTGTCATATAAATTACTGAGTATTACTAAACTGTGAGCATGTATTATTATTATTATCATTCCTATTTTTTCTTGTTTATTTTGCCGTCTTTCAGCTGGCATAGAGAGAGTCATATATACTGTCATTAGTTAATCTACCGTTCTGGCTGCAACCAATGGAGTTAGTATGTTAAGTTAATGATGCCTAACTATGGAAAGAAGTTGTTTTTGATAAAGATGAATAATTTCTGTGAAATATTCCTCAGAGTCATATTAAAGAGAGTGAGAAGAATGTGTGACAGACATTTGTGAAATGAGACTGAAGGAAGTAACAGACTATGATAACAGAAAATAGAGAAAAGG